GAAGTCTTCGAATCGATACATAAAGTGTATGGCAACAGAGTAATTGGATTAGGATACCCGAAATTTGCTCATGGAGGTCTGGAATGGCCTCCTTATTCACCTGATTTGAACCCGTGTGATTTTTTTCTTTGGGGTTATCTCAAAGACAAATGTTACGCCGTACAACCTCAAAACACCGCAGAGCTGATAAATAGTATTAAAAAATGCACTCGCAGCATTTCTACATCTATGTTAGATAATGTATTTCAAAGTTTTTGCAAACGATTGCAGTTCTGTGCTAATTCTAATGGACAACACTTTGAAAACATATACCATTAATTCATATGCGCAAGCAAAATTTTTCTATTTTTTTTTTTAATGAGAATTTCAATTGTTAAATTAATATATTTCTCTTTCATATATATGGTAATAAAATTGACAAGTTTTCTCTACAAAATGGCGTTTAATTCATTTTATTCGGTCTATTTGTTACGAAGTAATAACTATTTACTTTCAACACATTCCCATTGGTCACCCTGTATATATTGTTTTTATATATACACACATATACGTATAAATGAATTACCTACATTCACACACACACTTGTATATCAAATAAATAATTATAGAAAGTATAATTACTCTATTATATATACGACACTATAATCAAAATACAAATGTTAATTAATCAATCGTTTGAATACATATTTATTTATTGACCTCAGTTTCCATTTCTTCTCACGAAAATCGCACGGTCTCATCCCAGGCTATTGAAATTCGTATCTCTGGTCTAAAAATAGAAACAAACGAGTGAGAGTTTAAAGTGTGACGGAGTAAAAGCAACATACGACCCGTTGACTCGTCCGCCGGATCCGACACATCTCGCCTCTCGCATACTGCAGACACGTAGGTTAACTACATCACTGAACGATTTACTTGATTAAATCGTTCAAGTAAACAAACCACTCTATTATACTTTAATTAATAATTAATATATATATATATAAATTTATTGTTTTCGGCACATTACAAAGAATACTCATAAATCTATTACTCTCGGCACATTACACAAACTCTATCTTCACATAGTCAAGTCTTCGACCGATCTCGTCAACGGTCTCGACGACTCTCTCTGAATAATCGGCAAATATCTCAAAATCATTTGCAATAACATGTGATCCTAGAAATGGCGCGGTACGACTTCTCTCAACGGAATTACAGTAATAAACAGACAAGGGCATTAGCTACAAGGCAATACATATCAAGACACTTGTAAAGCAGTTTTTTTGTGGTGAAGTAATTACGTCGACATTATGTCACAAGTAAGAAAAACTGACAAATTCATTGCAAAAAATATCACAGCTCGTAATCATGAGCTAGCAAAAATCTACAATTCTTGCTATAAAAGTAGAATAAAATATATCAGCGTGCGTACACACATTGGTAACTTTGTAAATAATATATTTCTTAAAAGTGAAGGTATAATTTTTTGTTCATAATAGATATAATAATACAAATACTCAAACCGCATATATCGGTCTGTGATGTGAAAAAAATAGGAAAAAATCTTTTTGTGTTAGTTAATTTTATTTATACCATCACTGTATAAATATGATGTGTCAAATGATTAAAATACTTTATACGTATTGTCGTTCGATATTTTAATCTCACATTTGACAACGAAATATAAAAGCAGGCGATAGTAGTATGTGGGCACTTATGGCGCGTCAAAACAAACCCCTTCCACCTGGCCCCTCCACCACTTCTGGCGTCATTGCCCTACCAGGGTGGTTTTCCTTCTCCCTTGGTGGTGATTGGCCACGCCCGCCGGAGGGGATGGAAAAGTGACATGATTTATGACCCCATAAATTTTTTTTAAATAATATAATTTTCTAAAAATGCGTATTTTAAATTTTTTTTGTTGAGGAATTTGTGTGGGAAGAAAGTTCGAGAATGTTCTCGAGTAAAAGAATTCTTTATTAAACGAATATATATTTATTTAAAAATCCGTTTTGAAGCGTGGCTGGTACTGGCAATGGCGGCGCTCGGATGTTGTTGCCTCGTGCGTTCAAACGTGTATGAGAGCAAGTTGGCGTCGGTTGAGTGAAAAAGTATAAGGGCGGGGGTGGCATCGGTCCCGAGAAGAATCAATCAGCGTCTGGGCACTTATGGCTCCCAATGAGCGTGAAGCATAGTTGAGGGCGTCTAGGCGAAATAGAAATCGAAGCAGGCGTCGCAAGACTGTGACTAGAAAGTCAGGGATGTAATATAAAAAATGAATTTATGTGTCCGGATTTTTTCTGAACGATTTTCATCTGCGCGAACTTGTACGTGCGAGTTGACACGTGCGTGCCGATGAGAACATAAGTTTTTGAAGACAAAAAACAGTTTATGACTTGGGACCGTTAAATCTGCATGTTCGTGGGGGGTAACAAGAGCGTGCCGATGAGAACATAATTTTTTTTGAAGACAAAAAACGGTTTATGACTCAGGGCCGTTAAACCTGCGCGTACTTGTTCGCGCGAGAAAATTCTACGAGAGTTTTCGATGGGTATTCAATGTAGAATAAAATGTTTATAAAAATGCCCATTTAAAGAATTGTTTAGTGTTTTTCATACGCATATGCACTCATGTGTGGGTAGCTACGACACGAGGTAAATGCAAAATAAAAACTATATGTCGTACACGGATGATATATAGAAATAATTTGTAACTTTTGAAAATAATTGTTAATCTACCGTTTAAACAAAAGAGTGGTGGTGGTGGTAAAATAAGTTGATGCTCATGCGCACAAGAGGGTAAAATTGATATAAATAGAGCGATGTAAATACATTTTGATCATTATTCTGTTGCAAACAGTTGCGGCTGGCGCTTGAAATATCTTTTTACGCGGTAAATATTGGTTTAAAAGGGTGTAAAGTGAAAAGTGTAAAGAAATGGCGATGAATATTGAAAAAGAGCAAGTTGAAT